GGGGGCGGGGCGGGGAGGGACGGGGCCGCGGGGAGGAGGGCGGGGCCGCGGGAAGGAGGCCAGAGCCGCGCAACTTGCGGTCCTGGGACCCGCCCCACCGCGTCACACTGGGCTAGGCCGGGACTCTAAACTGAAACGCCAGGGCAGTTCCCAAGCAGGAATGCAAACATCCCGGAAATCCAGCTGAGGTCGCCGGGCCCCGGGAGTCCCACGCAGCGTGAGTACAGGTCTGTCTGCTTCGCTCCACGCCGGCCTCTGCCCCGGGTTTAGCAGCTGCTGCTGGCCGTGCTGGCCGCGGCCCGGACCCTGCTGCTGCTCCCCGGGCTCACCGCGCAATTTTTGTGGTGTAGACTCAGAGGATCCATTTTTTTCCAGATGTGTTATAAATTCTACTGTACTTCTGGTCGAGACCCTTCCTCCCTACTCTGAGCGCTGTTACTGGGCCTTCGGCTGGAAATGTATCTGGGATCGGCATGAAGGTTACAAAAAAGGGATTTGTGTGACCCGGGCCAAAGGCTGAAAGAAGGAGAACCGCAGTGGCGTCGATTGGTTTTGGCGCTTTGGTCTCCGGGTTAGCCCCCTTTCTCCACCCTTAGCGCCACCCCCATCCCGTGACCCCTGTTTTGGAGAATGAGCTCACTCTGACCTTTCCGTGTACCTGACACATGCTGGGTGCGGTGTGGCAAGTGTCGTAACATGTTTCGGTTGTTTCCCTGGACACAACCTGAGACTTGCTGGTTAACAGATTTTTCAGAGATTTAACCTTCACTCCCGTAGAGTTAGCGCCCCACCGATCTCCGATTATTAATGCACAAGAAGTAAGATCATTGTTACCATTTTACAGCTTGAGACAGTGAGGCAGGAGAGTCGATGCTGCTTCCCCGAGAGTGAGACTTGGAATCGCTCTAGTCCTCAGGACCCCCGGGGACAGGATGCTTAGTCAGCAACTCTGGGCCTTTCCTGCCGTTTGCGACGTTTTCTAGAGGAAACCTCTGCATTGCGGGCGACCTGACCTGTTCAGAGAGAGGAAGTTTATTTTCTAATGAATAACCGTGGAGAGCTTCCGTGATGTTTCGCTTGTAGGCACGATGGACTTTTGCACACTGTATGTTCCGTGTGTGAAAGGAATAATGAGTTCCTTGGAGTGTGGCGCTCCTTGTTCTAAGAAGCATAAAGGAATAAACGCACATGGTGAGTTTTAGCAAGATCATGCCGAGCTGGGAAAAGCCGCATCTGTAGATTGGTGAAGTGGGACTTGATGACTGTAGCAACGAGCCTAGAGGGAACCCGTGTGCGGCAGCCGCCACACTTGGTGTCTGTTACAGACAGGTGGGTGCTTCCCAAACTGTGAGACTTTGTGAAGCTGCACACCCCGATCCTAACGGCGTTGTTCACTCGCTTTGACAGGTTTCCCAGGCAAGAGGGCAGTTGGTTTAGAAAATTAGGGGTGAGCCCCAGTTCCTTGATTGTTCTCTCCTGCAATTTAAAAAGGATCGCATGAAATAAGAAGTAGGAAGAATATAATAGAAAAAGAAAGTTATCAGAAAAACATGAAGAATATCTGAGATGCGTTTTTATATAACGGGCCCGGGATTGATGTTCCTATTCATGTTTTATATTTGACAGTGATATCTTGAAGTTATCACAACTTTTAGGTGGAACTATTTGCTTTTCCTCAAGATACAGACTTATTAGTCCTATTAAAAAAAAATTGCAAGTCCTGTTCTCCTGTATACCTGTATGTCGGTGTATCTCATCTGTCATCCTTCTTACCACCTTCACTTTGGGTATCATTTGAGTCTGAAGTACGTGTTTAGCATCAATTTGTCTGGCCTCCTAAGAGGAAGCGGTTTTAGCCCTCAGTTTTTCTCACACGTTACATTAAAAATCTGAGTACTGAAAAAGTAAAATGGCCTTCACAAGCAATTCCATTTTAGCTTTTCTTTGTGAGTAGCTCTGAGTTTTAAAAAAATGTCAGTTACACAGTGTTGAAGCTTGAACACGCGCTCGGCATTCTGGATGACTGCTTTAAAGTGTCCTACTTCCATTGTCTCAGAGGACTTCAAAACATCTAAGAGTTGATGGCTTCTGAGAAAATCCATTTATCTGAGCATCAGAAATTTAAATGAAAACTCCGCAGCCACTCCATTAACAAAGTTGTTTTGCTCATGCCCTGGAGTATGGGCTGTATAATACGCTCTGTTGTCTATACAGGGCAATGTTAAATTATTACAACCTGGGTATAAAAGTTTTCAGTAAAAACTAGATCAGCATAATCCTTACAAAAGAGTAATAATAGTTACAGGTACCGAAAAATACTGTGTTCTGATGCATGGTGAATACATGGCATGTTATGATGACAGTACAGCTATGACTTCTTTTTGGGCCATTTTACAGATTAAAAAAATAAATCCTGGGCTGGGCAGATAGCTCAGTGGTCTGAGCGCCTGCCTAGCAAGAGCAAGGACCCAATTTTGATCCCTGGTGCTGCATGCTGTGCTAGCCCCATGCTGAGCTGGCCACCACTCAGCCACTGTAATAGGTCTGGTGGCGCATGCGTATAATCCCAGCACTGGGGAGGCTGAAACAGGAGGATCACTATGAGTCTGAGCTGTGTAGCAAGACTCTGTATGCAAGCTTTTTATTATACTACAAGCCTCCTGACAACAGAATCCCCATCTCTTTATCCTCAGAGGGGCCACCCTGGTTCCTTGCACATACCAGTTGCTCCATAAATATGTATTGGATTATAAAAGTAGATTAGTTTTATCATGAGATGAATGGAGTCCTAAGATCCTTTTGCATTAATATAGAGATTCATTAATACAGAGATTCATCTTGGGTTGGTAGTGAAAGAAAAATCATGTTTTTATTTTCCAGAATTTGAATGTAGAGTTTTTGAAATTTATCATCTGCTTGTTAGGTGAAGGTTAAAGAATGAGTAATCAAAAAATATGAGACAGGAACCCTGGCTTTATTTTCTCTATGCCTTGAGCTTCTACAGTAAGCTAGACATGCTGGGTGTGCAGAAGTATGCCTCATGTAACAAATGTGAAGGAACCATGTGAAAAATACTAATTGGCGTTGCTTTCACTGTGTGAAGTGGAGTGATCAAGCAAAGTAAAAAGAGCATATTGGAAAGGTGGAAGCCTGTTTTCTATGGAATGAACTGGTCGCCGAAGAAGTTCTATGACCAAATGACCAATTTAAAACAGAAAATGACAACAACCATAGACACTAAGGGCTGAGATGTCATTGGTAGCAGAGCGGGGGTGGGTTGGGGGAAGCAGAGTCATTGTAAGACAGGACCACTCAGTCTGGTACACGCACAGCTGCCTTAGCACTGGCTTGCCTCATTCATAATTTTCTGAATGTCCTCCTCCTATACTGTCCCCTAACCACCCGCTAAGACAATGCAGTGTACCCCTACACACATCTACAAGTGAGAGCTCTCATTCTATGACCCCAGCTGAGAACACTGTGGCAGCCTTTCCTTGTGGGCAGAAGGACTTGCCATGAGGTGTCAGGTATTCTGGAGATTTCCAGATTTTTGGAAATTTTGTTCTGGGGCTCCATGCAGTTTGATGAGCGACTGTTTAGTAGCTCCCCAAACAAGCTCTAAGGGTTCAAAACTCCTATTACTCATCTTCCTATTTCTTCATCACCCATGCCAGGGTGCTAAAGAGGAGAGACAACCTCATCAGCAGAGTCATCTGCCCTGAATTTCCATAGTTTTCTTATCTCTAATGATACATTTGTCTCAGTCTAGTTTCTGGTTTCCTATTTGGCAGCTACGACTTGATGTCTAGGTATCCCTTAAGTAGATGAGGAGAATCTGGTACTCTTCACTCACCTCTCAGCATTTCCCTGCTTCCTCTCATAGGAATGGCTAGCGCTTGGGTTACAAAGTTGCTTCATCTCTTTTGTTGGTCTTGGTTGTTTGTTTTCCTACAGATCCATTTGGGATATTCTTTTTTAAAAAGACTAGCATCTAGTTTTAGTGGGAGTGGAATTCTTACATGGTAAAGTATTAAGTTCTGCTTTTTTTGAGTTTTTCAGGATAACTTTTTGTAATGTGCCTCTGTTCTATGGGCTCTGTGGTCCACACATGTTGACAATCATGAGTATGAAATGGATAAATGAAGAAGGTTAATTATTATTATTATTATTATTATTTTGGATTTTAGGGAAGGGTCTACAGGTGTTCAGGGTCTCACAACTAGATCAGACTCATAGTGATTCTCCTGTTTACAGTCTCCCAAGAATTGGGATCATAGGCGCACGCCACCAGGCCCAGTCTCAGTTGCTGTCTCAGCGTGCCCCAGAGGCAGGACTGGCACAGCAGGCCCGGTGATTGAACCCCCAGCCCCTGCGCCTGCTTGCAGGCCCTTTAATCTGCTGAGCTATTTGATTAGTCTTACCAATAAGGTTTGCTGATGGATGACTGAAGAATGATGAAAACACTTATATGTATTTGTAATCTAACCAGTGTCTCCATAAATACACAGCACTGTGTTGTATCATTTGTTTTCTTGCTAGAAAAGAGAAGATTCTTGAACCTCAAATGGAGTGTATAGACCAATACAGCGATTCGAGATTAGTGGGTAGCCCTGGTGCTCTCCGAAGCTTGTCCTGGAGATATTCTGAAGCTTCTTGGATTTCTCTGAGATGCTGTTGTGTGATGTCTGGTCTGGAGAACATCTGTATAAAATTTATTTGTGATGCGTAGTTAAAAATAGAAATTTCTCAGGCCTCACCTCAGACCCAGGCCGTCAGAATCACTGAGGGCTCTTGGCTCAGTAAGATTGTGAGAGAAGTCCTTGCACCTCTAAAAGGTTTAGTGCCACTGCTCGGAGAAGTGACTTGAAGCCCACGAGTAAGGGGTGTGCTGGCCTTCGTGATGCAGCAAGATCTTGGTAAGGATATTAGCCGTCCTTGAGTTTGCAAGCTTCGGAGCTGTAGCGATAGATTCCCATGAACTAAATGGATTGGTGTTGATGGCCCGTGTCTGGAGCCTGTGCAAGAGCCTGGGCTACTCCCATTCCACTCAAGGATGAGTAGGAGCTCCAGGCTCCCTTAGTATGTGAGTATATTGTCTCAACTCTGCAGTGGACTAAAGTTCTCCTTCCAAGTGAATGAATTTCCAGAGACCTGGTTCAGACCCGAAAACCACCAGAACTGCCCAGGATAGAGTTGGTAGGGAAAATGTGTGAGAAT